CCCGTCGTGGAAACGGCGCAATATAAATCCAGAATTTTATTTTTATTATTTATTTATTTACAGAATGCTACCAGACAAACTGTCTCAGGGCACGTAAAGGTTCAGTGGTAGAGGCAAAAAACCTCTGAAATCCAGATTGTTCTGGCAGGCGAGTGGCACTGCCATCAAATTCTAGATATTGTAAGGAAATTCTTGGGGTACAACCTTAAAGATAGGAAGTCATAAATCTTGTACGTTCAGAGTTTAATAAAATGGAAGCTAATTAAGTTCTCTCTTCCAGAACTGATTGGAGTGATTGGTGTTCTCTTGCAAGTTGTAAGGTATGCAGCTGCATTCACTTCATACTGAGACTTTTTCACAACATACGTACCAAATCTAAGAAACAAGCTGTCACTATAACCTGTGCAACTTGTGACTCTTTTAATGTATAACCTCTTCCATCAAGACCCTGCTTCGGGGAGTTTAACTACTCTGGAAGCAGTTTATATACACAGATTCACAGAGTGGAACCCCAATTTTCCGTCTTGTAACCGGCAAACTGGAAATACCTGTCTTCTAAATTAAACATAAGGTAGGGTTCCGTTATTTTCGTTTTGTCCGTGTTTTTATGATCGACAGAATTGAAGGATAGCTAGACGAAAACGATAATCCATCAGACGCCAGATGAACAACAGAACCGTGTAAAAAATATCAATGCATTTTGAAAAATGTAACCATGCATGCACAAAATATAGCATAAGTGACTTCAAAGTACCCATCCGACTGTGCAGTGGTTTGTCGGTCCAATTATTTTGCCGCGAAAATTTTTCTCTCAACTTTTTTTCTCACGCTTCTGTTTGCCTCGTGGCTGAATTATGTTTAAAAGTGACCTGCACAACTCATAGCAATAAGAGATTTATCCCATTCAGTCATAAAGACATAACTCGTGAGCTTAAGGTCAGTGACTTTAACTAAATATCTTGTCTACAAACATGCAAATATTTACTAAATCAATGAAAAAATTGCCTGAAGGCCGGGAAAAAAACACCCCTGAATACTTCTACTTGAGGTAGACAAATGCCACCAGCTGATCAATTCTTTTAGAGGTCAATGGTGTGAAGGTAAATTACTCCCTTCGGCAAGTATTTCTGATCCTTAAGAACATAGATGAATACACAATTACGTTTTAACACGTAAGGGGTGAAACGCCAATTCGTGTTCTATCATCTTAATCCGACCTGAACATGTAAAGAGGGTTTGAAAATCAGACGACAAACAGTTTCTTTGTCGCAGCGTTCTTTTTTTTTGAATCCGTGCTTGATAAAGTGACAACTTTTACTGTGCCCATTTAGCTCTCTGATGACGTTTGGTATTTTTCTAGAAAGCTCAATTAGCTGTTATTTCTTTTGTTCCTGTTTTTGTTTTATATTTACTCATTCTGCTTGACAAGTCAGCCGAGAAGAATTTGCCTCATTCTTTTGTAAAAGTCAGATTAGCGTGAAGCACAGCATGCTTTCCAGTTTGTTTCGAGCTATTTTCATTCTTAAAACAACAAGCTCTTGCTTTCATCTGTTTAGTCGTAGGGAACTCGAAGCTTTAACTAACTAAGAAAGTGAGGTAAGTCATAGAAGATTCAGGCTGAAAGGTAAGAGTTATCATAATGTTTAAGTGGGAGTCTTTTAGAAGCCTGCCGATAACAGTTAAACAGTTAAACGGCTATTACCGAACACAGCGCAATCTCTTCTAGAAATCTCTGAGAAACTCAAAACCACTACAGATTTGTGTTAAGAATCGTTCGATCACTTTTATCGGATGAATCCAACCGAAGAGTGAAACATCCAATGAGCGAAAGATCATTTCTTTGCTATAAGAAGCAACACTAGTCAATATATTAAACGCATGGTAGGTGAGTAATAGAAATGAAAGATAAAAAAGGCGCGGTAGGTGAGCAATCAATACTGTTCCAGATTAATTTCAGACGTAACTCGAATGATTTTAATTTTCTATTTGTTCAATTTGATCTTCGCCTTCATTTTTACAACTTAATGCACCCACGAGAGTGATCAGTGAGATTAACAAGCCATTCCTCGATTTCTAAGATAGCTTTATATTGGGAAATAAAAGCCGTTATGATTGAACAAATGCTCAACTGCACTAACCTTTTGTAGGTGGAAGTATCATAGCGACTGTGTATTTGATCAGGAAACCAACAAAACTACGGAAAAGACAACATAACCAATATAAAAAAACAAGGGTTGAGCAAAGTAGCTAAGTTTTCTTAATAAAGGCTGATAGTTTCGAAAGAAACTGTTTGGGGCTGCGTCGGTGGGAGTAACGAAATAATTTGGATATATCAACAAAGTTGAAATGGTAAATTGGCCACCGTAACGATTACAAAAGCTAACATTTCGAGCGTTAGCCCTTCTTCGAAGGCTAATCGTTACGGTGGCCAATTTACCATTTCAACTTTGTTGATATATCCAAATTATTTCGTTACTCCCACCGACGCAGCCCCNCCCAATGGAAAGCCGCATGTTTTTGTTTTGTTTATTTAGGCGCTTGGTTGCCACACGATTAAGAGCCTTTCTTCTACACGCCCTGCAGCTTTGATCTTGATACCATCGAGTACAACACAATTTTAGAAGGTTTGGTTACTGCTAACAGACGTTCATGATTTGTACTGTCATTTTAACTATAGGAGTTTATTAAAAGTCTTGAATACAACTTTTATTTTGTCATACAAGATTTTATTTTGATCAGTTTTAGATTTCCATTCTCTCTGTTTTTGATGTTGTTTTTTAAAGATTAAGAATTCAAGAAAAGTAATGCTAAATGTTAACGGAGTTTTGGTTTTCTCGTTTCAGAAATCAGCGTTATGAAGGAAAGAGTTTTGCTGGCACTACTAGTGTATGTTCTTCAGTCCGTGACAGGTATGTGGAAGTGCGAGGTCTCAAAGGCTTCACTTTGTTATAATAATTTTTAAAAGTACGTTTGACATATTAGGAACCACAGTATATCAGGTCAGTAATAAGAGAGATAGATAGACATGAAATTCGAAAAAATGAGCCATAAAGGAGCGAAGGTTACCTAAGCCCCGTGTACACGAGCAATTTTTATGTGGCAACTGTATGTGGCAAATTTTATTTGCCCGTATAGATGGCTCGACAAATATTTGTTGTTAATTTGCATCAGTAATAATTTTACACAGCGGAGATGCTCGTGGAAACGAAAAAGCAAGATGGCGAAAGTCAGAAGACGTGCCAGACGTGTTGCAGCTTTAGGCGCGTTTGTCACATTTTATGTGGCGTCTCATCTACACGGACAGTTTTTTATGTGGCAATTTTTATTTGCCACATAAAAACTAATATGCCAGCTTTTCAGCAAATGCAGTTATCACATAAAAATTGGTCATTTTTCATCATCTACACGGGCAAATAAAAACTGCCACATAAAAATTTCCACATAAAAATTGCCACATAAAAATTGCCATATAAAAATTTCTGGTGTAGACGGGGCTTTAAGAATTGGTTAGAGCGCTGGACTGTTGTGCGGGAGGTCGAGGTCGATGGTTCGAGCCCCGGCCGGACCAACACTCCAGGTCTTAAAATAACTGAGGAGACTGCGCTACCTTTCAATGGTATCAAGAAATGGATAGACATTCTAGTCTTTTCGGATAAGTACGAATAAACCGTAGGTCCCGTGTCCTGCATCTATTAATGGCGCTGCGTGTTTGTGACGTCACAAAATTTTGACATCACAATCAAGCTTCTCGAGTAAAGGAATATGGGCGATGATGCTCCCATCTGTAGTTCAAACGTCTCTAAAGCTCGTATTTTAAATCAAAACGACGGTGTTCCTGGCTCAAAGTTCGAGCAAGACCCAGAGAACTATACAAACACACAATTGAAGCGTTGGTTAAAGTGTAGAGGCTTGAAATTAAGCGGAAAACGA